ATTACTAATAATGATATTTAATATAAATAGTTTATATTAAAATTGTATACAGCTCTTTATTTTCTTTGCAATTAGAGCACACTGTAAAAGGCAGTATATGATGAGTATATTTTTGAAACTCGTTTCGTTTTATATGAATATTATTGTTTACTCCTCTTCTTCTTTATTTATTGTTTTGGTGAAATATATATACAAATATCTTATGTGACAGCGAAATAACTGTATAATAATCCAGGGAGCTCTCCATATAATAAAACAAACGAAGCACGCCCAAATGATGCTAATGAATTTCAAATAAAAAAAAAAAAATAAAATAAAAAAAAATTGCTCGTTTTTCTTTCATAATATCGAAATTTCAATTGATTGTCATTGAAGTCTGAGCATTCACAATAGTATACATAAGTATAATATGAGTCAATAATTGTAAAGGAAATCTTATCAAGTGCAAATATCACAGTAGAGATAGTATAGGGTAGTTTCAATTGTTATTAATATCTGCTCATTCATTATCTTAAAGTCTTAGTAAGTTAAGTGGATGGTTAGTAGTTCATTTGATTGGCTAACAGAAGTTCAAGATCTCATTTACAATAAGCAGTGAGCAAATAAGAGACATTCTCAATACTTTACCATTAACAGACTTGTTGCTCGTCGTTGTAAAATTGATGCGCCCATTGATTGTCTCGCCGCTGTAGTAAACCGGATTGGGTCGATCGAATTCGAAAACACAATTTGAAGGCATATCGAAAATCCAATTTTATTTGTGTGGCACTCTGTTGAATTTACACTTAATTAGATAAATTACATGTTTTACGAAACATATCCAAAGTCACTGGAATACCAAGTATAAATGGACCAAAAGCACGCGACACAAAAACGCTGAAAAATGGACCGCAGTAACGAACAGTCAAAACACAAATAAAATGCCTCAATACAAAATGCGATGAAAATAAAATTTCTGAGAGCCGCTGAGAGTTGAAGCAGTGTGACATCATCAACGAGTGAGCGAACCAAAACAAAAACGAAAACAACAGCTCATGAGCGAGTCTCTCAAAGCTGGTGGAATCGCAACTGTTAGCGAGCGGCAGAAAGAGAAAGAGAGAGAATTTACTGAAAAGCTTTGGTGCTGCTCGCGTCAACTTTGGCACAGCTTTTCTATGTGTTTTGTTGTTGCCATCATTTAGCTTCGACGAACAGGCTGATGTAAACACAAACAGAGGATGTTATACATATTTGGATAACAGCTGTGTGATAACTAAAGAGAGACAGATGTATGTATGTATGTATGTCTGTATGTATGTATGTAAAAACTGACGTTGCTCTCGGCTAATAAATGTAATGAATATACGAACTTCATATATTAAACATTTAAAGCCTTTTTATTTTAAATATTTCTATTAATATGTATAATTTAGAATGGATATTTGTTAGTAGATAAGACCTCTCCTTCTGAATGACTTCAGCTTTCTGAACTTCATATTGTTTTTGTTTATTTATCAAACAGCGTGGGATGCTTCGCAAACAATCTGAGCTGGGCAATAAAACAATAATACGCTGATTAGCATCTACATACATAAATACTGTCGTGATTAGATATTGCATTTGATAAGCTCCTAAATCTGCACGGGCGATTCCACGAATTGTTTTTCATCAACGCTCGACTGGTCCTGCGCCAACTGCTTTTTATCCGCACGTTGTTCGCCTCTATGGCGTCGGCGACGGCGTCTTTTCTGCGGCGGATTTGGTGGGGGACTCTGGAATGTATCCACATCGAAGACGGGATAGCGCGGCGTGAACCGAGTCGCCTCACTAACCGTATTGACATCCGTATCGGCAATATCGGCGGTCATGAACATGGCTTGCTCGTAGGTGGGTGGGGCTGTAAAAATATAACGGGTAGATATTGAGATTAAAGAGATTTTATTAATAGAAATAGAGAATTTAGTTGACATACGCAGTTCGGGTGCTAGATCATCTCCGATCTCGAACTCATCGTCCCCATCCTCGGGCAGTTCATAGTCCTCTAGCTCCTCAGTAAGCTCGTAGCTGGGATTATTGACACCTGCCGCCAGTTCCATGGCCCTGGCCGAGGTACAGGGCAAGTCCCGTGGCACGGCCGCAATGCCATATGTAGTGGGCGGCCCCGCCGTCACCAGCGGCACATTGCCAATGGTGATGGGTATGATGACTTTTGGATTGGCCATCATCCAGTTCATCACTGCCACGATGCGCACCTCGTACGAGACGCGAACCACCTTGCTGAGGTGCTCGCAGGTGGGCGCTGTGGCCGGTATCCGCAGCGTTTCAGTATACGACTTCTGGCAGTGGTGGAGCACGCCTCCACTCTCGCGCTTGGCCAGCAGAATCTTCTCGGAGACGATTTGCATGGAGGGCACGTCGGATGTGTACTTGGCGTGCAGATAGAGCATGATCATGAGTTTCCTGCAGTCGCTGCTGGAATCGTTGCGTACATCCGCATGGACCAGCATAAACTGGCCGGGCACATATCCCTGCTGCTGCAGCGTCACCTTTATGTGGACGGGCTTGGTTTGCATGAGGCAAAAGTATTCTATGCTCTCACTGCTAGCCGGCTCGCGCAGCATTTTATTCTCCTGGTTCAGGTCGAGCAGCTTGAGCACGGTGAAGCCCACGTTGGTGGTGCGATTGGAGGCGCCGGGCCGTATGAACATCACCTTGGCCAAGTAACGTATGTGTCCATAGAGACCCTCAAACGAGGATGGGCAATGGCTGGGTATGGGGCAAGCAAAGGTGTACGTATAGCTGCCAGCTTCAATGGTGGTCGTCGGCGCCTGCTCCGAGCCCATCAGATATGTGGTCGAGGCTATGTAATCCTCTCGACCCATAAAATACCGATTGCGTCCCGGACGGTACTGGTTTGTGGGCACGACACGCCCATGCTTGCGACGCCACTGAGCCTGAGCATAGCCGCTGATTTGTAGTTTAATTCCTAGAAGAATCAATGGCAATTATGTAATTATTGCCTACACTGAAAGTTCAGCACTAACTAAGAAAATAAGATCAAATCTAAGCAATCAAATAGTAAAATATTATTAAAGTTAATAATTCATTGCGCAGAAAAAAAAAAAAAAAAACAGTTTTTTCAGTTTGATTAACGAAATAAACAAAGCAGATTTCATGAGAAGTAAAATATTTTTTAGGTCTGTAGATTATTTTTATTAAAATAATATAATCAATAAGTTAATTATTAAATAAATGGTTTTTAAATGCTATCCATAAAAATCTCTGAGGAGCCATTCAAATGACTAGTAAGTCTTGGCATTTCCCGATGCACACCTACACCTTATCACCAGGTAGATCCCCCTGAGCATTTATTGAATAATACAAACATTTCTTTCGCTTTCTTTTGCAAATCGATTAACTCTCTGCGGTTTATCAGTAAATTATGAATATAATGGGACAAAAAGGCAAAACGAAAACAAAGAATAAAAGAAACAAGTAAAATAAATACAAACACAGATTAGATAAGAGTGCAAAAAAAAAAAAAAAAATTAAAATTAAATAAACTCTATATACTAAGTAATTTGTGTAGTAAAAAATTAAAAAAAGAAAGACTTTAGGATTGGAGTGCTGCGGGCTACAAATTGTTCGACATACCTCGAAGTTTCTTGGTCTTATTCAAATTGATGATCACCTTCCCGGTAACCACTTGTCCGGTAAAATATGTTCCATGCTCATTCTGATCGAAGGTTATCTGGCAATTATTGGACATTGCTGTTGTTTGAGTACTTTCTGGCCAAGAGCGCTCCGAACTCGCTCGCTGCTAAATGTTAACTGATTAAGCTTTTTTTGGGGGCTTCTAACATGATATAATAACTGCCAAGTGCTATCTTATCTAACAAAAAAAAAAAAAAAAACTTTTAGTGATATATTTATATATAGACATATAATCCCAAACGTGGATGCCTCAGTCTCAGAGAGAGTCTATGGAGAGAGTAAGAGAGAGTCTATGACTTTAATGTTTTTGTAAAATAAAATATCTCTGAAGTTTCATGTCTTAAAATATTTGTATATAATATTTCAGTCTTTCATAAATCAATTTTTTT